GAGGGGAGAAAGGAAGAAGGGATGGATAGAAGCAAATGAAACTTCTTACCATTTATATTAGTGTTGTGTAGCTGGGGTAGTGACAGAAATTTCCTCAGGCATATATTCAAGTATACCAACATAATTCTTTCAGTTCCTCTATTCTTACTCTGTCTCTGCTTCCCTTGTGACCCTCTTCATCCTTCTGCATTCTTTTCAGCAATTTAGGAGTTTTGTACCTTGCCATGCAGACAGTAAAAATTATTTTTTCTGGCCCCAATCATAATAGTAAAAGGGAGACAGAATCTCTGGCATACTAACCTCGAGATACAGATTATTTTAATATAACTTTTCGGAAAATTATTTGAAGAAGGACTGTTCTGTTGGAAAGGAAGGTGCTTTTTTATTTTACTTCTTCATTGGTCCAAACAATGGGTCTGTGTACATAGGGCTATGTTTCTTTTTTCCATAGATTATTACTGTAGACATTTTATGTTACAAATAATGTAAAAAGTACAAACAAGTGGTTACCATGACATTATTACAGATATATGCTGAGCTGCATAGTTGTGTTCACTTTTTGTTTTCTTTGTTTAGTAATTTATAAGCTGAATGTTTTTCTAGCTCAAGTAGTGGAATTAATTTTTGGTGATCATCACGCCTAGTAATTGCTTGGCTGCATCAGGGATCAAATGATTATGTTCCTGAACAAGTCTTTGTTTAGTCTTCATTTTTGCCTCCTCTGTAGCCACACTGTGGAGACAGGATGGAGGGAAGCCTCTATTTGCTTTTTCCTTGCTCACACCTCACCAGCGAGGCGTGTGGATGTGTCTCTGACATGGGCAGTTTGGTGTCACAGCATTGCATTAGCACTGGCCCTTTTGCCTCATCCCATAAGGTTTTTCTCGCTGGTGCAGCACAGGTACAGCTCTTTGTTGGGGAATGTGCTGCATCATGGAGCAGTTAGAAAGTAAACTTCCCCCTTTTGTCATTTGTAAAAAATTTTGAATTTTTTTTTTCAGCTGTGGGGAAAAACATTTTCACAACTCTGAAAAGGGTTCATTCAGCCTTTCCGTAATAGTTCAAGTGGTTGGTTTTCTCCTGGCTTCTGAAATACATTACAAATCGCAATCTGGAAAAAGTTCTAATATGATTCCAAGTCTTGCTGCTGAATTTGGATACGTTGCTGGGTCTTACTCTGTAGCTCATCCTTAACAACTGACAAAATATTTACTCGGCACAGTGCAAAGAAGGTGAACTTTCTCCAAAATATTATACAGAGTTGGAGTCAGAACACAGACAATGAGGCAAAAAATTGGACCTGTCCACCAAGCCATTAGTTGAATCATTTTCCAGAATGTCATGAGAAAGAGCTTCATCTCTGTTGCTGCTTGTGATACAGGAGTGGAGAGCACAGCCAGGTCCCCAGGAGTGAGGACAGCATATTGCAGATACTAAAGTCTTAAGTGTATATTTGCACAGGCAGTTCCAGCGGGGAACATTCTTGGCTGTTTATTAAACATCTACTTCATGAAAAGGTGTTTTCCCTAAACTGATCTTCTGTGTTCAAAACGAACAGTGAAATCTTTAACCCAAACTGGATTGGAATGTTGTTTCCTTTCTGGTACTTTTCAGTGTTAGTTACCCCCTGGGGAGAGGATTATTAAACTATTAGAACCAGATTGGAGTTTTTGAAGCATGATGTGCTGTTTGTCTCTTAATCTAGAAAATGTGGGTTTAGTTTTAGGGGTTTCACCCCTCTGTTTTGAGAAATCATGGGGGAGCAAAATTGTAGTAAATTGTCTTCAGCACAGAAAAGTCAGGGAGACAAAACTCTTAAGTCTAATAATAAGGTTTTTTCTGCTTCTGTCTTATCTTCATATGGTCCTTTGTAAAAGAGCCTCCATGGTAATTTTACTCCGTTGTCTTTTTGACAGTGGTACACTGTTGGTTTTAGACCAGATGGTAGAGCGTATCTCTATAAATAAGATCACACCTTGCCACATACTTAAATGCAATACACTGTGGTCAATATTTCTGGCAGATTCCTTATTTTCAGTGTATTTCCCCCTCCCCAAAATGTATCAGGCATGATGAGGCATAATTCAACCCTTTTGAACCTTCTGAGTAGAAATGTTTTCATAAAGCAAGGGATTGTTGATAATCTTCACTGTAACCATTTTTATTTCCACTAATGTACTGTTTTGCCCATCTTGTTAAAATAATAAGAAATATACTGTCTCAACTCTCTAAGAAACATCGTTGCACAGCTACTATAGCTACAGGGATTTGGAGGGAGGAGATAAGAGTGAGGACTTTTTAATTTTTTTTTTACTAAATAGATTAGAGATTTGTCTTTGATAATAGCAGTTACATGACATTTGTCTTTGTTTAGAAAAACTGTGAAGACTGCTGACTTCTCCTTCACCCTGAGCCTCTGAAAAACAGACATGGATGTCCTGCAGCTGACTTTCTCTCAGAGCTCAAAACATTAAAACCCCTTGTGTAGTGGTTTTCAGCCACTTGCTTTTTTGAGATATTGTGTAACCTAGAGAAAATAGGGCTTTTCAGGGTTGTTTAAATGTTCTATTTATGGTACAGAAAACATGACAGTCCAAGTTAATTACTGTTTCAGTTGCTGACAAACTGGAAGCATGAACAAAAAAGGAAGATAAAGTAACCCTTAGAAGGATTTTGTCAATTACTCCTCCAGGAGTAATACGGCTGAACTGTTATTATTGTTATATAAAACAAGTAGGAAAAATTGTGTGCTGTATTTGAATATAGTATTCCATTTGTAAATAAGAACAACGTACCCACAAATCAGCCAACATTTCCTCAAAAACCCAATTGAGATGAAATAATGAAATAACTATCCATATTGCTATTATCCCAGGAACCAGTCCATATTCAGGAGGCACAGAATCAGATAAAGCTTAAACAACTAAACCATTCAAGTTACATCTACCACATTATTCCTACTTTTGTTTTGGCATTCTATTTTATCAAAGGTTGAAATTTTCAGAAAATTGAATGAAAATTTTTGTCCACATCTTTTTACTTAATATTAGTGGAAGATATGTGGTCAAGCCTCTGCCAGCTCTTTAAAAGTAACAACAAATACATTTTATTTAAATAAAAATATAGGGCGTTTTGATGGGGAGAGGGGTGCATTTAATCATTTGCTTCCTCGCTTTTTATCCAGGCTTCAAAGATGTTTTCTGATGTGATGGGGAAACCCTGGCCAATTATAAAAACACATTATTTCCTTCCAATTGTGTGTGAAAACAAAACCATGCAGAGAAACGATCAAAAGACAACAAGAACAAAACCTGTGTGACTCTCAGTTTCTTCTGGTAATTGATAAAAGGGTCACATTTCAGGTTCTTCCTCAAACCAGCTGCATTAGAGGATTTTGAAAATGTGTAAGAATCTAAAAAAGAGAAGTAAATCAGTATATAGTGTTCCGCAAGGAAAGATCATATTATGCCAGTTCCATATCTTCTGAAAAAAAGTAGGACTTACATACCTATACAGTGCTTTTAAGACTTCATAATTTCCTCTACCACTAGTGTTTGTTAATGACTTTACATTCCCTCCCTGGGCCCAGAGCAGTTCAACATGGCGCAAGACTTCCAGGTGAGTCAGTACAGGGTTGTGTGGCAGGGAGAAGGGAACTGTAGCTCACTGATATCATTGCTCTGCTGTGTCCTTTCTTTGGAGATGGGGTGTGTAAAAGAGGAATGTGAAGAAGAGTGTAAAATCAGTGCTCATCTTCTTTGCCTTTTCTCATGAAGAGTTTTAAGAAAATGCTACTGTTAGTATTGTGTATTTTATAATTCCTTTATTTCATTTGTTCTTGCCCTGCTGCCTCAAGCTAATGTGTGTTGAGAAAAAAGAGGGAAGAGAGTGTAAGTTGCATTTTCCGGTTTGATCTGACATTTTCAGCTGTAGTGGCCAAATAGTGGGAGAAGCTGAATGTAGACAAGGCTGTTGGAGCATTCCTCCTGCAGCAAGGAAATAACCATGGCAGAGAGTAACAAAGGCCTTTTCTCCCTCTACAGGCACCATTTGCCAACCCCTTGGCTCCATTTATGTCTGAGACTGATTTGAGAAGAAATGTGGTATCTATCATATGTGAAAGCTCTCTCTCTCTGAAACTCTTCCTGCTGTGGCAGTGTTGGTTTAGGTTGCCCAATGTTGCTTCCTTTCCATACTGAAGTGGATATGGTTATACTTGTTAAAGTATTTTTGTCATTGTAGCCTATTTTGGTCAAGGAACTTTCTGCCAACATAAACCTCTTGTAGAGAATTAGGGTTTCATAGAGTATCTGTGTAGATACATCTCAGTCTGCATTACATTTTGGGAGGCTGACACCGGTGGCTCTAGTTGGACCAGGTAGTACCAAAGGTGAAGGGTTTGTATTTGCATGCTAGTGCTTGCATTGCATTTATGCTGACTAGATCTTGAGTGTGATGAAGAACTGAGCCCTTACTGTCACCTCTAAATTCAGTACAGCAGACTTGCTCTCACCTTCAGTATAGCTTCTTGGCTATGATTTGATCAGCCTTGAAACATATCTCTCAGCCTGTTGAGCATCGCAGTGTTTCAATCCAGTATTTTTACTTTCCTCTCCTGCTTAAGTCTTGCCCTCCCCTTATATTCCTACTTTGTAATGAGGGTGGTGGTACAGTAGCTGCATTTATTGGCAAAAAGCTAATATCTGAAATAAACTAATACTCATACTCCAGGACAGAAATTATTACCTAGTACACATTTCTAGTGCTTGAAGTGCTTAAAACCCACTTTGTCCTGCTTATGGAGTGGATGCTGTACTTTATATTATGGAAGCCAGACTGTTTCTTGTATACAAACTTGAATTTATAATGTATTTGACAATCGTATTATTGTATGTCAATTGCTGAAGCAATCTAACAAATTACACCTCAAGATGTAGACATAAATTGTCCATAATAAGAGCATGTATCTTTTGATTAGCAAGTATAGCTCTTTAATTCAGATGTTTTGTACCTCAAATGTTAATATCGTACTGCTAGTTGTTTTCATATATAGCATTTTGATTTTATTGAGAGACAATATACTTTTATCAATTGAAATTAGAAATTTTTGGAAGCTCTACTTGAAAAGCAGTATGGAACATAATCTTAGCTAAAAAGCAACAGTGAACAGTGAAAGAGCACATGAAGTCAGGAACAAGTGCTGTTGGACTGAGACAATGGCGTGTTGTGCTTTGTTTCAGTTATGTCCGCCCCTCAGTTGCATTTTTCAGAATTTTTGAAAGTGGTAGAAATGTGGGGCAACTTTATTTATGTTTATTCTATCGCAGTATCTGTCATCAGTTCTGTGTTTATATGTAGAGATAGACTGCTTTGTTTGGTGAGATAATATTCCTGCAAGACACTACATTCTCTTTGTACCATAGTCTTAATTGGCTGATTTTGTCCTTCCAGTAAGAAAGTCACCAGAAATCATCTTAAGCCAGTTTGTTTTCTGAAAAACCATCTGGGAACTTGAACATCCTTTAACTATCATGTTAGTTTACATGAGCTAAATTTGACATGGCATGTAGCACTGTCATCCTTAACTTCATATCATCATCTGTTGTTCCAGTTAGCATCAAGCTCCTTTAAATGTAGTAGTCTTTGCCTGCCCTAATCTTTTCATGTTATTTTATACATATTAATAGACAATAATTTTGTGGTACAGAGATGGCAACATCCTTTAACTATCATGTTAGTTTACATGAGCTAAATTTGACATGGCATGTAGCACTGTCATCCTTAACTTCATATCATCATCTGTTGTTCCAGTTAGCATCAAGCTCCTTTAAATGTAGTAGTCTTTGCCTGCCCTAATCTTTTCATGTTATTTTATACATATTAATAGACAATAATTTTGTGGTACAGAGATGGCTGTCTTCAGATGACTTTTTTTTAGATAAAATTTCAGGGAAAAGAATCCTGTCTTGGCCCAGATTCCTCTAGCCTTTGCAAACAGTATTATATTTTGTACTTACTTTGGAAGCTGTCTTATTTTTGCTGTGCTGTATAGCTGGTCTGACATGTCCCCTTCTCAGTTTTACCAAAGAAAACACCATAATTCCCTCCCTGGCCATGGCCTATCCTGTAGCATTACTTTAATTACTGCTTGGAATTTGGTTATGTTTATGTCAGCCCATCATTCCCCATGCTTCTTTCATAATTAGGTATTTTTTAGGGTACAGAGAATACTGTTGGCACAGGTAGTACAACTTCAACCAAACAATCCTAACATTAGTTAGTTCTTCAGTAATAATCCTGAACATACCTGGGAGTTTTGCTTCCAGACTGCAGAGGATTTCTTCCCCACCTCTTTTGTTTGGTAACAGGAGACTGGCAAAGAGGGAGAAAAAGGTGACTGCTGTGAATTAGGCTTTCTAGGTATGTTGACTCTGAGATGTTTGTGTCATTTCTGCTGTCTGTGAGATAGACTATAGATATAATATCAATGTTAGCAAACTATGGTGTGAATTCTTATTTTTAAAACTTCAGAAGGATGGATGGATGGAAGGATGGATGGATGGATGGATGGATGGATGGCAGGGAACTCACCCTTCCTGCTCATACTTCAGTTGCATGAAGTTTCCCCCAAACGTGTAGACAACTTCGCTGGTCCTTGCAGAGGAGATGAACAAATATTCAGATGATATATTGAGCCAATCTCACATAATAAAAACTGTTTCTACTGTAAATATGACTGAACACTAGATCAGGTTGCCTGGAGAGTCTGTGGAGTCTCCATCCTTCGTGCTATTCAAAATTCAGCTGGATGCTGCCCTATACGATTTGCTGTAGTTAAACCTTGTCTGAACAGTGAGTTTCGACTAGGTGATCCCCAGAGATCTCTCCCCACCTCAATAATACTCTGATTTCAAATTCACCTTTTCAAACATGGGTGGTTCTTAGGCTTGTAAGTACTTCCCTCATGCAGGAGTGGAATGTGGGCTCTGGGTGCAGAGATAGCTTTGGAAAAGTCCTATGCTTAGCAGCTTAGGAAAGGGATCTTTCAGGAGATCATGGAAGAAAGCAGCAGCAAACATCAGTCCTGATTCAGGTGGCTTTCCTTGACTGCATATGACCTAAAAAGCTGTCGTTTGGCTTTTTGCTATTTTCCAATATGAGAAGTAGCAAAGTGCTGAGTATCAGCCATCATTGCAGGCACAGGAAAACAAGAAGCCAAAGTGTGCATTTGCTGACCTAAGTTTATTTGAGCAGAGGTTCTGCAGCGTAGCAGGGTAGGTTGCAGAGGTATGTCTGGCAGAGGTGTCAGGATAAGTCCATTATAAGCACATGGGAAACTTAGTAATAACGTGTGAGTAGGCAGTGCAAAAGCTTTAGCAGATGCAGTAGCAGCATGTGTTGCCGGCCCTGTGTGCCCTTGGAAAACTGTAAAATACTTCACCATTGATTCTGCGTCTCTTGTAGGCAGCTGATGAAATGTCACTATTCTTCAAGTACAACATGCAGAACCATCATTGTAATGGCTGCTCTGGAGAGATTTACAGCCTTCGGAGGCTTGTCAACACAGATAGGGAGAGGTTATCTTCATATCTCCTCTTTTGTGTTTACTGACAGGGAATTGCTTCTCACTGGCTACACAGGAGAGATTTATGGTCTTTGCTCTTCAAGAGTATATGATGTAACCTGTCTACCTCACACTATCAATGTTTAGCAGGTGATTTGCGGTGCAGTTTGAGCTGTGACTGACCAAACTTCATCAGGAGAAGATGTGACATTGCTTTTAGAAGCTGCAATAATTTAACTAGATAGGCTTTCACCTGCTTTTGCTGGGGGGTTGGAAGAAAGCTTTGAAACAGTTCATAACTGTATCATTAGCTGAGGTTGATACTGTGCGTGTAATTGCTGTAGATTACAGTTTAATTTTGTGGTATACTTGAAAAGGTGTCTGTCTTTGGGTATTTGTACAGTTTAGAAGCCTTCTCAATGATTAGGAGGGGCCCTGGATGGAAGAGAAGGAAAACAGAGGCAGCCAAAGACAAGTGTGATTTTTCCAAAAACATTTTTTCATAAGCATGTTTAAAAGATACTGCCAGGAAGGATGAAGAGAAAATAATACACTGAATATAGGATAGGATATAGAAATTAGAAGGAAGGCCTGTGTTGGTATGGAGTTAGGGAAATTAGACTGGCTATTAAAAAAAACTTTCAAAATTTAGACTTGCAGAGAGGTAGGTAGAGACTTTGTTAGCATTTTGGTAGAAGAGGCAGACATGAAGACTATCAAAAGATCTTCCTTTTCTGTCCACTGAAAAGAACAGTATTTTCAGATTAAGGATGCTGCTATCAGCACAATCATCTGCTCTTGGGAGTAAGAGCTGCAGGGGGATGTGCTGAATAACCATGTGGCTAAATTCTAACAAAAAAAAAAAAACCAAAAACTGAGAAGACCATGACCCCAAGCAAGCTGAAAATTGCAGAATTGTCATCCAGTACAGATAAAAGCACAATACCTAAACCCAAATAAAAAGAGGACAGGTAGAAATAGGTAGTGGGTTGATCAAGCTGTGACAAAGGCTTATAAAGAAACAAAAGAGGTGACATAGGTCATTGTGAAAACA